CAGAAATCTAAGGAAGGTCTCCAGGCATCACTACTGATGAAGATGTTTAAGGCAGTAAGGATCACATCAGTAGGGCAAGAAAAGCGTTTGCTACTCTACACTTGATACAATCAAAAATATGTCAACATCCAACAACAATAATGTCAAGTCAGTCAGTACTTCAATATGCTTCAGAGATTTTGATTGGGCGTCAAGGAAAACATTGGCAACAGATTGATGCAGGCTTTTATCAACACTTATATTCGCTTGACGATAATGAACATGAGATGACCGACTACTGGCAAGGGTAGGCGACATGGAACTCTTGAAACAACTCAGCTAAGCACCTATTGCTCGATAAATATTCAGAAGGAAATGAACATGAATTACACATAAACTGAGAAGGCCATTGAATTACATCATGCGCTAAGCCGTTGATTGCAACTCAAATGAGAAACGATGATTTAGGTGTCTAAGGATGATATGGAGAAGATCGTATGGGAAGGAAATGAAAGTTTATGGGTTGCTTTGGAGTCAGGTAGAAAGGACAACAGATAACAGAGTGAAATGGAGAGGTGATGTTGAACCTCTACGTTTCAATCAGAATCCAAGGGGGATAATAATAGTAATAATACATTTACACTTGGTAGGGTGATCATGTGTTTCACTTCAGAGTTTGGTATCTCCAAGCGAAAACTGAATCACCTATAACATTGACACTGGCGGCCTCCTTGATCTACTTAGCTATGTGAATTCCCATCCAACACAATGCATCATATTTTTCTCTGATTCTTTTTTTCTTAACTAGTCAATTATATTATTTCGTCGCAAACTGTACTCACGCATGGCAGAGTTAGACTTTAAGTACCACTAACTAGCAATCAGCGAATGACTTTGAACTCACCAATCACATGAGGGAGGCATTATACATATATTCATAAAAGCTGTATAAAAGTGTTGCAGAGGATACCTTTCTGTCATAGGTGATAAAAAAATCTCCCATTTTAACATAGGAGCATCAATAGAAAAGTTATACCACATCCTACACATATATTCATCTGAATGACTAACAATGGCATCGCTTTGCAATCCACCAATGGTTCTAATCCTGGTTTTTAGCCTTCCTTAAAAGCTTTCGATAGAAGTTGTGTGGGTCCCTGTAATGGGATCCGCAAAATCATTAGAATGGTTCGCTTTATGGTGAACACATACAAGGGATGACAAGCAGTTATAACCATTCCACTCATTGGTATGTATTAAAGATCTCTGTTTTACAAGTCGAATGACACCTGCTCATGTGGAGCTAGGTATGTCGGCCGTACCCAGCGTTTGCTATCCAAACGAATCAGCGAACACTTACCTTCATGGTTTTATAAAGGAGAAAGAAGATCCCCCCGCCACAGCTCTATCCTAGAACACTTGATCGAATCCGGACACCAAGCAAACCCACAAAACAACTTCTCAGTTATCTACACAATACGTGGGAATCTTGCCAAAAGAGTACGAATTAAACTTCTTCAAACTGCAGAAGCAATGGCAATTCACATATTGAATCCTGAACTCTGCATACAAAAGAAGTTTGTTCAGTCACTAAATCTACAATGGTCCTGATCTATCTTAGCACCAAATACGTAATTTTGTCTTACCTCTTTCTTCTTTGTTTGTCTATTTCTTAATTGCATTATTTTCTACCCCCACCCTCTATGAAATCTCTACGCTCATGATGACTGTTGCTAACTCGATTCACGCTTATTTTTAAGTGAATTCTACTCAGCTTATTAACTTAACTCTCATTCATTTTCAAGTGAATTCTACTCAGATTATTAACTTGACTCTCATTCATTTTTTCATTGAACCCTATCAATTAGATTACGCCATCCAACCTACTTTTGTAACTTTATTCTAGTTTCTAACCGATTAATGCTTTCTAAATTACGTAATTTGTTTGTCAAAAATTAACAATTGCATTAACACATCTTTGGAAATATTCCTTTTGTTGCCAAGACAAATTACTATAAATTTGCGATTTGTACATCTTGAGAATGATATCGCCGAAAAGAGTAACTCTTTGCTGAACACCTTTTCTTTTCTATGACTGAATGGGAATTTTCAAGTTACTGAAACAGTAATTATTTTTACAGGATGGGGTTGCTAGCCTCATGCCCAACCTCCCCTCTTTACCAGTCATGTTACTGACTTAGCGAGGTAAAGGAATACGTCTTTGACCGCGGATCCAACCCCGAACCACATCCGTGGTTGGTGAATATTCCATCGCTGTGCCACTGACGCTAATAGACCACTTGGACCTCTCCAAATTGTAAAAGTAACTCCGTTAGAATAGGCATTTCAACTCACGGTAACAAAACTCATTAGACCATTCAAAGTCATTAGTGCTACCGCATTCCATTGGCATTTAGTGGTGCTTAAAATTTAACTTTACCTCGCTCATATTTTCAATTGGCTTTCAAACTACCGGTGCCTATTGCGCTGAGATGAATGAAAAATATCATAAGGTGTTAGCCAATGCGTCAGATCTAATAGCATTGTGTCACGTGATTTACTATACACTGGCATTTAACATGAAGATCTTCGGTAAAGAGAATATATCTTGCAATAAATTACTCCGAGAATTCTATACACCGCGTAAACATTTTGTCCAACATAAAGCTATCTATTTAATTTATTATTTTATTCTCTAACATCACAACCTTGACAGCTATCAATTGTCATTTTCTTATGTGATTAGTTTCTAACTACTCATATCAGGGAGTAGTATATCGCATTTAGTTTTGTTTCTCAAAGAAAGAATGGTTTTGGGCATTGTATAGATATGTGGTAATGAAGAATTGTAACCAAACTAAATGACTAACGTAATGCTCATTAAAAACAGATCAAAGTCTTTGCATAAACACAGTCATTCATTGTTATATAGGAAAATATATTTGGGCAAATAAACGGAATGGAAGGTTTGGATTTAAGTCACGCATCAAAAATCATTTTGAGAGATCAGTGGGAAACAGAAATCAACTGGATACCTGTTCCTTCCCAATCTGGAACTCTCCAGCAGTACGAACCTGGGAATGACAGGTTACCATACCAAGGTCAGTGGCCATTCTGGCAGATGAGTTAGAATCTGGCGACTCATTAATTTTACAGTCTATCAACTCTCTTTATATAGAGTTACCGCAGAACAATCAATGTCTTTGACAAGCATCCAATTTACCTCGATATGGTGGGTGTCACTGGCTCAAACTTTGTGGCACAGATTCAAAACATCTGTCCAATAGTAATCAGTAAACAACTTCATAAAATTCTTCTAGTTTGTTAAATTGATGAATAAGGGAAGAACGACAAATGTACCAGGATAACATGTACTCACCTTTCATTATTTCGAGGATTCTGCCCAACTGTCTTCATTATAATCAATATTATCATATTCCTTGTTTTCCTCATTCAGAGAAGTAACGTTGTATCTCCTCGACTTAATTCCTTCAGTAATTTGAGAGAACGGCTGTCAAACAAAAAAATGTAGGTGAAAACTGAGGAAAAAATAGGTTATGAAGTTATCGGAAGACCAGAAACAACTGGAGAAGTCTGCTTATTTTGAAGTTATCATTTCAATAACATGCAGCAAAGACGAAGAAGTCAAAGTCAGCAAGGTCATGAAAGCAAGACGGGCGTTTTTCTTATTATGAGATTGATGTAAAGATCCACAGCCCTAAAAAAAAACACAATGAACAATATCGAAATTTCCAGCACTAATGTCAAGCCATTTCGTTTTTCAATATGCTTTAGAGATTGAGTATATGAATCTGTGGTGATTGACAATTTCTATCTCTGTATTGTTTAAATACTTACTGTTGATTGTTAATATGTTTCTTATATGAATTGTGGAATAATTCCGCTAAATACAAATTCCTGAGTTCTGCCCTCTCTGTGTTTTGTTTGGATTCTTGTAATTCGGTCATCTTGAAATACTAATACTACGATTACAATAAATTACTACAAATTGGCGTCGCGATGGAACTAAATAACCTGGGAAAATTTCCTATTAATGGTCTCCGCGGGAGATTGCTGATTATTTGGAATGCTTCGATGCGTGGTGCATTTCAAAGAATGTTCGGGATGACAAAATACCAGCACATTTCATCACTGCTATTGGGCTAGATGCGTATAGCCTAGTAAAGACTCTGGCATTTCCAGATAAACCCATTTCTCTGTCATATGTCAAGATTCGTGAACTTCTGATAAATCACTTTCATGTAACTACATTTGAGACCAGAGAGAGGGCTCAATTCCATAAACTGGTTCGTGCTCCCAACCAGAGATTAGAGACTTTATTCTGCAACTCCAAATTCAAGCTTCAAAGTGTAACTTTGGAGATCAGCTGCATACTCAACTACGTGATCGTCTAATTGCTGGAATCAATATTCCTAAGTTAGAGAAAGAGTTAATTCAGATTCCTTCTTGTACCTTTCAAACTGCTAAAGATTTATGTATTACATATGAAGATGTCAATAATGAATACTCTGCTCCCACTACGTCAGTATCTGATGTCATGCTTCCAAAGTCGAAAATACAAATGTTCATGGAAAGCAATCCAAACTGTCGTCCACAGGTAATAGAATGCAGCGAGAGATCAAAAACATTAAACCGTGTTTTTCCTGTGGAAAGTTACATCTACGAAGCACTTGCCGTTTTCGGGTGCTAAGTCCATAAATGTGGTAAAGTTGGACACATCAAGACTGTTTGCAGAAGTTCGAATACTTATGTTGCTCAACATTCTTATAATTCTCCCAAGCTGTCTAGTAAAATGGAGTCAATGTGTCTTTCAACTTTCAAAATACTCAATCTCATCCAATGAAAACCTCCACTACAAGTTCGGCAACTCAAGTGTCAACTGTTTTCAAAAATGTGGTAGCCGAGTTACAATGTGAACTGTCGAAAACACGAAAAACTGAATGAGATGAGAGAGCAACTGATTAAAATGGAGGAATTGTGCATATGCATAGACTGCGTCTGTTGAATGCAGAGCATACAAGTACCCGTGAAAGTCCTGCAAAACTTTTCAAATCTCGAATTCTCAAAAAGCATCTGATGTCCACGACTTCTAATGTACATTATTACAAAGGGAATGACTATAGACCTTCTGTTGGAATTATACTACAAAAAATGGGAAATCGAGTGGTGAAGATATTAGACATCAAAGATCACTCAGTTCATAACGGACACCTGGACAAAGTGACAATAAATGAAGTAGGTCGTTCCAATTATAATATTATTGATTCCGCTAATAATCCTGATTTTGTAGATAATTCAGAAATAAGTCCAGATAATACTGATGAAAATAATATCACAGAATCAGTTAGAAGGTCGCAGCTACTTGCAAGCAAACCGAGACATCGTTATAAATACGCAAGGAGACATTCGACGTGTGGCGGATGTGGTGATTGACAATTTCTATCTCTGTATTGTTTAAATACTTACTGTTGATTGTTAATATGTTTCTTATATGAATTGCAATAATTCCGCTAAATACAAATTCCTGAGTTCTGCCCTCTCTGTGTTTTGTTTGGATTCTTGTAATTCGGTCATCTTGAAATACTAATACTACGATTACAATAAATTGCTACAGAATCACTAAAGGTATTTCCAAGAGGCTGATACAGACATTCATCGACAGTTACTACGTGCTAAAGACAAAATGGTCGGTCAAAAACGGTAATCAATAAAGAAGCCTGGTAACAAACTAACCAAGAACCTATTGCCCAATAACTATGTATAAGAAAATGCAAGTGGGTAGAAAACACGCTGAGGATACCTACAACTGATACTGCACATCAATCAGTCAAGAAGAATTTTCAGGCATTGGTTAATAGGGATTTGATTGACTGGTTACAAGATATCATCATGAACTGACATCGATTAGGGAACCATTGGAAAACCAGTTGGGAGTATTGGACAGATATTTCTTCAGCCTCGTTTGGTACTCTTCAGCATTACGCACCGGGGTTCGAACTCAGGACCTTCCGGTTACAAGGCAAGCTCGTACACCAATCAGCCACTGAGACATACTAATATATATATATATATATATACACTGACGAAGAGTCCCAAGCTAGGACGAAACGGCTGGCCGATACTTCTAGCTGGTTTTCCAACGGTTCTCTAACCAATGTTAGCTCGTGATGAAATCCTGCGACTACTCAATCAAATTCCTACAAACCAATACTTGAAAATCAATGAGATGCTCACCAGCGTCTCGGCCTATTCAAGTAGGTAGTTACCTGCGGTTCCAGTGAGAAGTTGTGACTAGTAGGATACAGCATATCGAGTGTGAGAACAGATACTCTCCAAAGGCATTGGCTAGCAGTCACGCTATGTTGTAAACGGATAGAAATTGGAATTCATAGATTGGTCATTGGATCGGTTCCCAGTGGCCTAATGGTTTACAAGCTCGCTGGCCTTGTAACCAGAAAGTCTTGTTTTCAAACCCTGGTGGTGCATGCGTGCTAATGAAATGTTTCAGGCTAAAACGAAACGGGTGTGCAGTTTTCCAATGGTTCTTTAAATGATGTCAGCTCATGATGAAATTCTTTAACCAGTCAAGGGGAAGTCGAACGATAGGCAATGAATGGGTCACGCATGATTCCAAGAGTGATATGTGGGGAAGATTATATGAAGGGAAAAACATGCATTCTTGTCTCCAGCTGGAAGGGATGCCAGAGAACCATTTGCAATGCAGAAGTACCGCTGAGTTCGAAGAAATAATAATAACAACTCCCTATATGTGTTCCACTTTGTATCTAACAAATAAAAACAGAGTAAATGATAGAAATATAAAAATCTCTTTAAAAACAGCTTCTTATATCACCATAGATACAACTGCTGTATATATATGCAAGTATATGCGCAAATACAGATGTAAATTTAATCTATTCTCAGATAACTAGAATATGTATAAACGCCTTTATCAATCTAACAAGACAGAAAATTGACGCATTTCAAGATTTTATCTAACTTGTTATATAAATATCAGTAATATTCCCTTGAATTATAAGTAATTCACTTCAATATTTATTAACTATTATTGTCATTATTATTATCATTATTACTGGTATTAATGTTAGTCATTACATGGGAAATAGTAATGTTTTTGATTTGAAAAAATATCTATTTATATATACTCTATATTTATTGATTAAGTCTAATCATGATGATAGAAACATATAAATTGACAACTGAACACAATTGAACATTGAACAATATAAGTCTATTGATTTCTTTTAGTAATGTATATGCTGACTATTCAATGTCTTCTGTGATATTTTCTAACCATAATAGTATTAATAATAATAATAGTAATTATACATAAGAATAAGTTCTTTTTCAAAAAAAAATCAATTGAAATTATTGAACAATTTATTTAAACTATAATATTTCCGGAGGTGTATAAATTGGTCAGTGAGTTAGTTGAATAAAGTTATTATTATTATTATTACTATTATCATTTACTTTATCTTTTCTCCTCTTTTCATCTTTTCTTTTGGATAAATTGCTTTCAGATGACAATTACTTCCGTTATGATAATTATAAAATTATTATTCTAAGTTCTTTTGCTTTTTTATTTAAAAAAAAAACATAATTCTGTACTTTCATATGTTAGTTAGCTAACTTTTAGGAGAGAGAGAGACAGAATTCTGTGAAAGTTATCAAATGTGAGGGGATCTATTATTATTATTATTTAATGATAATAATTATACAATGGGTCAATAATTGATCTGTTGGCAGTCATCTAGGTGGTCCAGGTTCGATTCCTGACTGATGCTCTCCTAACCTCCATTGAGTTCACTAGCTCAGGATGACTTTTGAATCACTCGCTCAAATATCATCCTAGTTAATGCACAACTTGTACGTTTACTGCTGTGCGACTAGCTGCCCATTTAGGTATATCACACTGTCAGTGTGAATCATACTTAATTAGAAGGATTGATAGGAATATTTCAGACACCTTTATTATTAAAAAAATTAGTCCCTTTGATAAATTTGAATAAGGCATTAAGAAGACAGATTTCGCGAGATGATATCGTCATTTCGTAGTTTCTTTATAACCGCTTTACTACTAACATGGTTAACAATAATAAAATAAAATAAAGTTCATGACAATTACTCAGTTAAATAAAAAATAAATTATTATATTATTATTACTATTGTTTCCTTTAATTACTAGAGGAACATAGGGCTTCAGCTGCGCGTCTCCATTACCTTCGGTTCTCTGCTGGAGTTTTCACCTGAATCCAAGTCTGCCCACATGCTTTCATCTCCTCTTCACATGACGTCCTCCAAGTCACCATTTCGCTGACAACCAACTCGCCGCTTCCCTTTCGGTCGGGTTCCACTCGAGCAATGGCTTGTCTAGTGATGTCACTTGATGGTTTGTTTCCTCAGAGTATGGCCAATCCATCTCCATTTCTTCCTGCCTATTTGTTTCACAATCGGTTCCTGCTGTGTTGGTTCTCTCATTGTCAGAGATCCCTGTTGCTGATGTTTTCTGGCCGGCCATCTGTTCTTGAGTACTGAGCGAAGACAACTGTTGATGAAGGTCTGAAGTTTGTTTGACGTGCTCTTTATGACGCGCTGGCCAAGTCTCTGATGCGTATAGATCCGTATAAAACAACTGAAGCATATACAAATGACCAATAATACTTAAATAGGTCAAGTAGCCCATGATAGACGAAGGTTGAAGTTTATTGTTTTTTGCACCCACAGTTTAGGCTGTATGTGATTAATCCCCCAAAGTGCTTCCATCACCTTCAATAACCTCGAGTTAGAGTTATGTGAAATAATTGTGAAATAGTCATTAATATTGATTTTGTGACCTGATATTAATAAGTGTTTTGCAATGGATGATGATGATGATAGTGATGGATTTCTATTCAGATTAATTGCATTGGGATTTTGTATATGATTTAATAACCATTTTGGAAAAAGTATCTTCACGACGACATTGGAACATTCTATTGGTTCTGCCTATATGTGTCACCGCAACTGTAGGTGAACTTGTAGACAGAGTTTGAAGTAGAGTTCACAGAATTTCGTCCTTTAATCGTAGGTACAGGGATTGAAAATGTTCGACATGTGAGGGAAAGAGATTCGGCGTAGAATGTGTGCTTGATGGCTGACGGAAGTCTTTGAGATGTCAACTGCATAATCTGGTCGTCCTTGAATGGCAGGTCAATAAAGATAGCTTTCTTTGGTACAGATGTTGTCTTATTATTATTATTCCTTTGAGTTCCGAGTGTAATATAGGGCTTCAGCAATACATCTCCACTTTGTCCTATCTTCTGCCTGTCCACTTCAGCTTGAATCGCGATTGGCCACAATCTGTTATCTCCTACTCTTAACACGATCCCCTCTATGTCACTTTAGGAGAACCCAATCGTCGCTTCCCATTGGGATTCCACTCGAGGGCCTGGAGTGAGATGTCATTTGACGGCCTCCTCAATGTATGCCCCATCCATTTCCATTTTCTCTCGCATATTTGTTGGGCGATCGGCTCTTGCTTGTGGGTTCGTTCCCACAGTTTCTTGTTACTTATTTATTCTGGCCGATTGATCTTCAGTATGGAGCCAGCGAAGAAGGGAAGCTGTTGATAAAAGTCGGCAACATGCTGTTGGAAATCTTTTTCGTGACACGCTGGCAAAGTTTCTGACCCGTATAGAAGGATTGACTTCAAATTGGTGTTGAAAATACGAATCTGGTTCCTTGTGTTGTGTGCGAAGACTTCCAAATTGGTTTCAGCTTGATGAAGGAGTATCTTGACTTTCCGATTCTGATCAGCCGGCTTGGACATCTTCATCCCGTCCTCCAAATGTGGTTGAAAGGATGCTTCCTAGATAAGTGAAGAAGGTAACCCCTGCTAAGTCTCTCCCGTTGATGGGATAGATGGGAAATACAGCCTTACTATCAGTTATTCTATTCATTCAAAATACACAAGAAAAAAGAGAGATTATCAATATGAAATCATTGACTATTTCCAATTTTGTTGTTTTCTCTGAGCTGGATGTCGCTTAATTGTTAACCTTCTGTTGTCCTTCTAGACGAAATCGCTTCACTGTTGACTTCAATATGAAGCTAACTTATTTGAATTCTTCGCGAATAATATTGATGGGATTTAGAGAGACCTGGACAGATGTTTCATTCCTAGTTTAGGGCTAATTATCGGTACACACCCACGGGGTTTGGAACAAAGGACCTACCGGTTACAAGGAAAGCTCGTAGACCTTTCAGCCACTGGGATCCAGTCTAATGATCCATGAATTCAAACTTCTACTGTGGTGAGAGCAGACTGCTAGCCAAATTGGTAGACATTAATTTACGTCAATGTTTATGTCGCAAATATGGTCGTGAGAAAATATGAACGAGACTGATTCAACAACCACTCACAGCAGACTTGGCGTAGGCAGATACAGTTAACATATAGATGACCTGATATTCAAGA